CCCGGACCGATGCGACACTATTATTAATGCTTGCTTGCTGCTTACACCGAGAAATCGGCAGCCACCAGCTAGCGTGGCCTAAAAATTTGCGCACACTCTGAGGCAAGGACAGGACACAGAACGGACTGGAAGAATATGACTCGATGAAGCAGCAGCACCTGGGGAAGATCACCCTGAGCGGTTGCTCCGAGGTAAAGACTGCGCACAGCAACGTCCGATAGAGTCAGCAGCAGCGCCCGAATGTGACAAGCATTATGCGGTACGTAAGACAAAGAAGGGTTGATTGCGTAGCGCATTCATCAATCTCTTGCGGTACAAATTGGTCTCGTTGCATATGAAGACCTGTCTCAATCTGAATCTCAGATATCGACTTGCTGCCTTGGCTTGCTCGGTGCGTGTGGCATGGAGTTTCAACTACCGATCACGCGTTGCAAGCTGAACTGAGCAGAGACAAAATGAGCCCGTATCGTTGCATGGCGCAAGACACGGTGTATCGAAAAGAGCACATCGAAGCATTCTGCCGTGGGAAGCTGCACGCTCAGCCCAGTACGCTTGATGACTCTGTCTCATTCGCCTTGCTTGTCCCTACAGTGCTCAGCAGAGCTTCGCTTGCAAGATCATGTGCATCTCGAGTGAGCACTAGAGCTGAGCTGGCACTTTCACAAGAAGTGATTAGCAAGGCTGAGCTCGTATAGAGGCTCATCAGCTAGCTCATCAAGAGCGGGTCGTGGATCCTTCCCTCAAAAAGGTCGAGCGCATTCACTTTCTTGCCCCGTCCTCCCTACTCTATCATCAAATTCTGCTCGACTCCACCTCACAGCTGTCATCATGGCCGACCGCCAACTCAACGGGGCGGGGATGGAGCACGAGCTCGACGAACAACAACGCGATGTTCTCGCAGCCTTCAGCTCTCTACCAGGTGTCGACCACGAGCAACAATCGGCTCAGATGACCGGCACAACGCAGCTTGAAAGCATACGTGAGAATGTGGAAGACATTGCGTCGCACGCAGCGGCTCTTGAGCAGCGCCTGCAAGAAGTCTCCACGATCGTTGACCCCGTGGACGAAAGTGCATTGGAGCTGCTAGTGAGTCGCCTCCAGTTCTGTTTGTCTCCATCATCATCGATAATAGTGATGCTGGATTCGAGAGGTGCATCTGGACTGCACGGCTCTCATCCACAAGCGCAAGTCGCATCGCAGCATCTCTCTGCTGGCATAGACCCAATCGCTGATCCACGTCATCCCCCCTCGATCGCTTCCGCACAACCATTCCTGATGCATACCGCAGGCAACTACTCTTCACGAAGCGGCGCTCGCTATGGGGGCACCGAACATGCCAAGCAACGTGATCATACCAACAAAGATCTCCGATCTTCAGTTCTACAGACTCAAACTGCTAGTGAGTCACAAGTCTCGAGTGTTCGTACATGTGGAAAGACAGAAACTTGTTACGGCCTTCTGATACGCCCATGCACTCCGCAGGGTGCCACTTTCAATCTCCAAGCTGAAAAGTGTCGTCCAGAGGGAGACGATGACCTCACGTAGCGTGCCGCCATGCGTCTCGCAAATCGCCCAGCCACGGACAACCCATAACGTCGAGTAGTCCTTGCTTCAAGCGCGTAAAACACTGGGCTGGACTCGAGCTCGACATCTCGTCAGTGTCAGTACAAAGTCAAGACAAGGGAGCTCGAACCCTTCACATCGGCGCGACGCTTGTGGGTGCATGTAGCGCTTCGAATACATGACTCTTTTGACTTGCGGGTGCACACTCGGTCTGATGCGAAACGAGTCAAGTGAAAGACGCGTGCGCTTCGTACAATCTAGTCACTGTCGGGTCTGCTTGTGCTTCATGAGAAAGCTTGATCATGAGAGGGAGAAGAAACGCTATCAGCTTGCGGCCCGCGTCAAACAACGCGTGCCGATTTGCTTGCTTCGAATCGTCGGCAAGGTGCGAAACTCGAGAGGACGGCACCGTGACTCGATATGCTGGACCAATGGCTCGATCAGGAACAGCCTGCTCGGCGGTGCTCTGAGTTGAGCAACAGGCGTGCAGTACGGTCAAGTACAAGTCTTGACTTGCCCGCGGAGAGTGTCTCGAAGGGGATATATGTGAGGACGATACGTGTGACAAAAAGCAGGTACTCATACGCGTTGTATGATCGGATTCCCGTGCCATAATGGATTATTTTTTGTTCGACAGGGTATTGAACCCGCAAACATTATACGCGTACTTTCTCCGCCCCTCGGTGAAATGAAGCAGCATCCACACTCGCGTTGAAGCTATGTGCGCCAACAACGCGGCTCCACTGCGCCATCTCACAAAGTCTGCACCGATAGGTGCAGATCCAGGCTACACATACAGATACGCTGGACGCTCACGTGACTATTGGCCACCGCTATTGGCCACCCATGCACGCGCCGTGTGACCCACTTCCAGCATCCCAGCTATAATTCCTTTCCATGCCCTTGACCGTTACGCTCAAACCATGACCTGCAAGCTCCTTCTCGATATCATGACTCGGTGACAACCCGCCGTGAACCGCTTCATCGACTTTTGCGGATGCCCAATTTTTTTGGTTTAGTTAGACTTGATGATTAAGCCCTGCTACGCTTCTGTGAGGTCTGCATCCACGCATAGGCCACAATTCACTGCGCCTTATAAGATAGCGGAGTATTGGATACTGCCTTGAAAGACACAGCAAACACAATTGTGAATGTCGAAAATAGAAATTCGGAAAAATAGGTCTTATATACCACTGACCATCGTTCGCGCGTAACCCCGTCAGCCCAAAGTGGCCCGAAAGTTTTCGCCTCGGTTTGAGAATTTTCGGGAGGGGGAGGGAGTCACTCGCGGGGCCACGCATACACCGGGCGTTCGGATCCGCCGGGCAGCTAAACAGACGCACGCCTACGGTGACAAAATGGAAACTCTCTGACTGTAGGGGGACTCCGTTCATCGGGCCCCTGAGCGGGGGGAGGGACCTAGGGACCGCCCGGAGGGGCCAAAACTCGAGAAGCGTGTCAAGCCATCAAGAACAATGCTCCAATGTCCAATACTAAAAAAAATATCATAAAACATCATAAGAATATCAATAATCACATCAAGACTAAACATCAAGAATATAATAAATATCAGATATTAGACAAACCTTAATTACCAGTCCGATATCCTAATAGTCAGAATGACCTACCAAAAACATTGTTTTGTTTTGCCTCAAAGTTGGCGGCCAGGCGTTCTCATCGACAGTCGTCTGTGCGATTTCACGAAAGCACTTCATCGATCGAGGACGACACATTTTTCCCCGTTGCGCCGTGGCTTGTGACTTGAAGGGGAGCGAAGAATTTGTTGTCAGGCACCTCGCATCTTCGCGTGGGCGGCTAAGAATGCAAAGACCGCTCGAGTGTGGATGGCCGTAAATGTGATCTCACATTCATGCACAGCACGTTCGAGCAATCAGAAGAGTCAGATATTCGAGGAGTTTCGCGGCGTGCACCAGAGATTTCAGGTCAAGTGTGTGAGTCTCGACTCATGCGCACGCTTCACGCCAGCAGCTTTCCTGCTCGGCGCGTCCATTTCTCATGTGCCGTCGAGAAGCTTTTCGCGCGTGGACTGGACGAGACGCCGTAGGCAGGAGCAAGCAGATCGGCGAGCTCGAAAAGGAGGCGCCTGGGCGTCTCAAGTTGAATGTCGTGGTGCCAAATCGTGCTGAAGTACCGTGACATCAAGAGGGGCGTGATCCGTGGGCTGAGCATGACTACGCGGGCTCGAAGCGGCCAAAACCGAGACTTACCACGCGTTATTTCTGTTTTCTGTTGTGCAAGCCCTCCCGTGGCAGTGGCGATCTACCACTCTTGCGGCGACCGGAAGAATGCAAGGTGTTCCCGTCGGACTGGACCTATGAACTGAGCACTCTGGTCTATTCATCCGGCACCGATTTTCAAGCGCTTTGCGCCGTAGCTTGTTCAGCGGCTCCTCATGCTCTGACTTTTCAAGACGCGGCAGCCTAGCCCTACCACCGGTCTGCGTGCCGGCGCTCTCTCGGTCGAGCCGCCACGCGAGTTATCGACCATCTAGCAAGACTCCACTTGCCTCACCGTTGCTAGCGTTCAGCATCCAGTCATTGTCAGCACCCAGTGCGAATAGCGCCTGCTAGTGTCGCCTGTAGGTTGTTGTTTCCTGGACTAACTTGACTAGCTCGTTTACTGCAACACCTGAGGACTGCTCAGCCTCAAGGCTTTGGAGAGGAAGCATTCGTTTGCCTGTGTGCAGCCGGGCGGCCCCTGACCTTGTGGTACCTACGGCGCCTGCAGTAGAGTCCGCACACTCGGTCGTGCTGGGTGCGATGAGTTGAGTAGGCGTACAAAACTGCGTCAGCTTCGAATATCCTTCGCTCGCACTTGATCTCGTTCCAAGTCCCGAGCTTGCTGCTCACTGTGAGTGTCGATCTTCTTTTGCGACTCGCCTTCGCCAAAGGCATTCAGGAGGTCCACCGAGGGATCCCGCCGCCCCGCTCCAACCCTTCAGAAGCGTCGCCAGGCAGCTTAGAGACTGGATTGCACCAAGTCTGGGGGTTCGCTTCTCTCTGTAAGCACAAAGGGCTCTCGTGCCGCGCTCGCTCGGCGCCTCTGGCTCGATCACAACAGACTTGGTGTGGCAGTGATCGATGCTCGCTCCGACAAGCTTGATTGGACTGACGTGAAGAGCAGGGAGAGGCTGACTGCAACATGGCAGAGCACGTGCGCTTTATCAAAGTTGTGGATAAAAGCTGCTCAGAGATGACGGAAGGAACGTAGCGACGATGGAATCTGTGAGGATGACCAACAATCAGCTATCTCACTGACTGCAAAGTAAGGCAACGATCGAGCCGCTGATGCCTGCTCGTCCACTAACTCAAAGTCTCTAGCAGCGTGTAGGCGATGCCAGTGGCCGCTCAGATTCGAGGCGTAAGCTGGCAGGACAAATTGCGCTGCAAGCGCCCCGTCAGTACTGGGAGAACGGTGGTGGCGACCCGTGATGATGCGCGAGCAGGGGCGCTCGACTATGCAAATTTCCGCTCAGCTCGCGTGAGACAGGGTGACGTTCCAGACAACCAGCGCTCTAGTGTTTCCGTTCACGAAGAGTCCAGTCGTGGAGAAATGCCCAGCACACATCGCGGCTTCGAGCGTCATCGGCGAGGCGTGGATGTGTCGTAAGCCAAAATTGCCGCACTGACGTTTTAGCGATCGGCTGATCAGGAACGAGCAAGGACATGGGTGGTGCATTTAGCCAGAGCTGGAGCGGTGGAGGGGTGCTGATTTGTAGGTGCAAATTCCGTCGTGAGGGACGGTACGCGACCCACGACACGAATCTTCGATTCGACAGCACGCTAAGAAGATAATATTCGAGGCTCGGCGCGCCCTCACGCTTGGGACCTCTGCATCGTTTCGGCGCCGGATGCTGCGAAGAAAGGCGGATGCTGCGAAGAAGGGCGGCTTGTCAGCTCTGAGCCTGTCTAGCGAAGCGTATTGTCGTGTAGTGTGGCGCTCCAGGCCAGGCTAGTACTTACAGAGCTGTCCCACACCTGTGCCCCTGACAATGCTTCATCCGTGTGGCCGCTTTGTATCCCCTCCTTTACCACCACCCTTGTGCCCACACCCCTCCATACTGGCCAACGCTTGCCTTCGGCACATGAAGAGATGCTTGAGATAATGTAGAGTGAGACGCTGCGATCGTCTCCTATCTTCAGTCACTGAAGGAGCCTTCTGCTTCGAATGCAGACCAAGCGGTGCTGACCACCTCTACTGCGCCAGCATGGGATGAAGTTGAGCGCTGTGCCAGACTCCCAAATCAGAGTCGTGGATCAGTGTTGTGGTCTAGGTACCCAGTTGCCGCGGCGAGCAGCTTTACGCCAAGCTAGCCCGAAGAAGACTGCTACACGGATGTCGATTAGAGGAGCTGCTGGTGCTGAAATGGGTAGTCGATGCTCACGTCTTGAGGTTTCAGCATCGAGGTGCTGCGTGCGACGTTGCCTTCGCCATTTCCACCTGACGGAGCTCGAAGCGAAGGCTGATTGGCGCCGCGAATGGGGGCCGGTGATGTAGTCTGGTACTATGGCCGGTGCCGAAACGATGGACGCGGTGGGAGAACCGACCTACCGACGTGCGCATTGAAGTCATGATAGGACAACAATGCAGTGCACAAATCTGGCGCGACAGAGCAGCAACTTGTGCGTGTGAGGTCGAGATGGCGCGTGCCCCATTGCAGCCCAGATTTAGTGTCCGAAAGCAAACAGCTTCCGAGTGTGATTCCGACCTTGAGTGTGCATTAAGACGGTGACTTAGCAGCTGAAGCTGAGCGTGTCCCTAGTCTCGGCCATGTGTAGGAGAAAAGGCGCTTGCAGATGGCGCAGTGACCGCTCCCAGACGGCCTCAGCGATTCCCTTTTTTTCGCCTGTAGGACGTCCAACAGGCAAGTGGGTGTATGAAGGGCCGATGATGAGTTCTCGTCGAATTTTGCAGCGAATGAAGCTAAAAAAGGATGCGCCAATGATAAGAGAACACACTCGGAATCTCGATGCAGGGCAGTCGGAGATGGGGTCTCCTCGCCAAGCTTTGTTAGCGTTGAGTCAAGCACGCGTGTTTTCAGGGGAGAGCGCAGAGATTCCTTGCCAGCAAAGCTAAGGCCTTGCAATCTGAGGCCGCAGTGCTTGTGACGAGAATTGTCTGAAAGGGAGAAACGCCAGCCAATTTGGATCAATCATCGGCAGGGGACGCGCCAATCTTTGTCTGTCGAGTACTCGCCCTACGTGGCGCGAGCTTCCGTGACGCCATAAAACTCTTAAATCTAGCGAATCTACTTGCGCTTTGTATTTGCCCTCAGCTCCGTCGATGAGCGTCGCATTTCTGTCCGGCGACTGGAGAGAGCGTCTTACCATCAAATTTATGTGCCCAATGTTCATCTCGCGAATGTGCCAAAGGGTGTCGTGCTCGAAATGGATGAGCAAGAAGCATCATACCTGCTCTGTGCTGCGGGGCGTGAAGAGATGGCTCCTCGCGCTCCCAATCGATCGTGTGTCGGTATTGGTGTGGACGTTCAAGCCACATGGCGGCGATGTGTTACTGTACCCTTCACGACTGGTTTGAATCCAGCTCGGCAATGGGCATTGTCGAGCGTGCTCTGGCGCCATTTATGCGATCTAGCTTCGGAACATTGGCGGGTCATCTGACTCGCGTCAAGGGCTCACGTTGAAGCCGAGAACGAACAGTATTCCTGGCACTAGTTCGTCGCTGATGAAGAGATGAAGAGATGAAGCTTCAAGGTTAGAGCTGCAGTCTCCGTGCAGCAATACTTTCGACTAGGCAAGACTCAGAACGGACTCACTGATCCTATAGGAAGGGGGCGCAGCAACTACTGTGTACACTTGAGCGGCGCATTCATTCATGTCTGCTTCTGCACTGGCAAAGATGCCCTCGTTTCTTGTCTGCATAGCCCCTTGCCTCATAGTGGGAGTTTATCGCGGCTGAATTTATCCCTGCCGCGACACAGGGACGGCCTTCGCCTGCCGCTCTGTTGACCGCTGCTGTCCGCTGGGAGAGCTCCATCGAGCCTCTTCTCTAGCAGTGCGGCCCACTACTCTCGCTCGCCTGTGCACCCTGCGGTGAATGCTGCGATGGTCGGTATGCCAACATCGTGGGTCACTTGGCATCGTCAGGCGGATCGAAGGGCGATTTGACCGCTAAACGAAAAGATAAGGGGGAAGCATCGGCGCGGTGGAAGCTTGCACGAGCGTGCGCCAAGAAACAGCAGACATTCATGAGTCGACCAATGTACCCTCACAAGTTCGAGCAGATGGCTTTCGAGCTGTAGTCGCAAGCGTATGAGGCTGTGTGTGCGCCGGCTCGACAAAACGCTGCAAATACTTCGGCTCCATCGGCAACGAGCCAGCGACCTGAAAAGCGCACAAGGTTAGGGAATGAGTTTGTGCAGCCATCTCATAGCGACGATGGACCGCGCCGCCCACTGTTGACAGCGGAGCGAGTACTCACGGAAGCCTCGCCTCCATGCCCGTCCATTCATCGTTCTGCCAATCTCTGTGCCCCTGTTGCGTTGCAGATGAGGAAGCGAAGCAGTAAGGGTCAGAGCCGTTTCAAGTTCCAAGCATCCCTGTCGAGCTGCGTGTGCTATCGCCATCGGGTAGCCTGAGGGCCCACTCTTGGATGACCTCAGCTTACAGAGAGAACGAAGCCGAGTGCGGAGTCCTGTCCGCCCCTCAACTCACTCCCCGGCTTGCGCGAGCGCCAATCTGTCTCCAATCCAGAGCGTCCAGAACCACGCTGCCTACATCCAAGCATGTGGTCCAGCTGCTGCGCGGTTCTTCGTCGAAACAGGCTGCAGAATGCTCGCCGACAGGCGTGGCCAATCTAGGTTTCCGGCTTGGCTGTGTGGAGCATCAGACCTGCGCTGCGCTCTGCGAGTACTGCAGGCCGCGAATAGCGAACACGAACGAAGGATCAAAGGATCCGGGGCTCATCACGTAGCTGATCCGAGTATTTACCGCGTCTGGAGAGTCGCTAGGGTGCATCCAACACAAAGATTTTGTGACTCTGCGATGGTTCCGAAATGATGGTGGTAGTCGAGTGATTGCCTCCGTGATGGCGGCATTCAAGATTCAACATGTTATGCAAAATTATTATTTTGCTCGCATACGCGTTTTGAATCAATAATAAATCCGGCTTGCGGCACGTCGGAGCTCTGCCTCAATCTTGAATACTTTGGCTCACGCGCGTGCATTAACACGCATCAGGGCACGGCGCGTGTGTGCAGCAAATTAATTATAATGCAACCTGAATTTGAATGTTGATGCTTGACTCCTTTGATTTTGATTGATCATCCAAGCTTAGAAGCACTTTGACTCGACTTAGCCATTGTAGTTTCGAAGGTTCCTGCTTTGTAAAGGATCCAAGATGCGTGATTTACGATTGACGTTGTGCGCGAACTTTGATCAATGTCACACTCACTAACTCACACTTGACTGTCAAAGCTCAAGTCATCAGTCACAGTCAAAGATCATCCGAAGCTCTCGACTTGCGAATTCGATCCCCAATTTTGAGAACCCTAGAGTCAAGTACCTGCACTCGTGATTCCGAACGTAAGATTCCGAACGTAAGACGTTGAGATTTCATGTTCGACCAAGATTTGAATCAGACAAAGAACCTTGAGTCGACTCGAAGACGACTCGATGCGGCCTCAGGACTGACACCATTTGTGACTTGCGACCTTTCAACCAGGCTACATTCGTTCAGCAGATGAATGACTTCTGAAGCTGTCTCTCCGACCTCGTCATCTGTGCCTCCACATATCGAGCTTCTATGTCGCTTTTCCGCGGATGAGCATAACGTTGGTTGACTTGTGCAGCAGCTGCCGAATATCTGAAACGTGCTTGTCCAGTACCAAGGGCAGGTCCAAGAGCACGTCAAAGTAGCACCTATTCTGCCGAGTTGTGCATGTAAGGAGGACCGCGTCGATGGATGACTTGTGCAGGCACCAGGAGCCCTGGGTGACAGGGACCCGTGTGGATGAAATCGTGCATGCTAAGTTGCTGGATGCGCAAGGCTGCTTAGACGACTGGCCTGTACACACATGAGGACTTTGCGATCATGTGTCAACCTGGCCATGTCAAAGCTACTAGCTCACTGGCTCCGCCATCTGAATTCGGCAGGTGATGTGTTCTTTGTTGTACCATACTGGAGGCTAAACAACGCCTTCGTATAGTCTCCTGCTCAAGGGATCGCATCCCGTTTTTTGAGCGAAGCACACGCGCTTGGCGGGGGCGGTCACTCGGCCGGGCGCACGTGCAATGGAGTGGAGTATGACCTGCGTGCGATAGCCTGGGTGACAAATGAGCAAGCGTCGTTAGCGGAGTCCCCAGACTGATATCTCTCGTTGAGGCCGATCCGATTCGGACGATCCAACACTCGACTGCGAGACCTTCCACCCCAAAGCGAGGTGTCTCACACAGGCAAATCGTGACTGGCGCTGCGGCGTTGATGTATGCGGACTTCTGCATCAAGGCCGCTTGTCGATGTTCCTGTTGAAGAGCCCCAAAAAGCGCAAGCCGATCGCATCCCTCCCTCACTCCTCAAGACACCCAGGTCCAACTCCAACTCATCCATATCAGTCCAGCGACGATACCGATGAGATTTGGACCCGCTCATCATGGACGCGAGGCAGCCGCCATTGTATGTGCAGTCGAATCAGTGATTCAATGGATTCCTGGACCGTTCATAGTCTTCGTACAGCTGTGAGGTGTAGTGCCTGATGAGTGGCTGTCGGATTCACCACGCTCCTGAGGCTTTCGGTTGGTCGTCTGTTGCTGAACGATCTGATGTGCCTTGTTACCGCTGTTGTTCGCTGTGTCTCGTTACAGGGAAGGACCAGCGATCACACCTGAGCGCCTGCGGATATACGAGAGAGAGCATTGCCACTCACGCGTCTCCGAGCTGGACCCACGCTCCTTGACCTCTATGAGATAAGCCGAGGTGCTTGCCTCGTTGCGAATGTTCTCATTGACTTTCTTCTACATTCATTAGACAGCAACGCCAAGTGTGATGATCAGCCGAAAGCCTGCGCTGTAATGCGGTTGCCCCTCACCTGGATGATAGTGTTGACCTTCAAGTACCAGATGCACATCCCTTCGAGATCTGCGAAGATTGGCTTCCTTGGCAACGCGAGTCCGAGCTCTGCGAGCGTCTCTTCGATCACCTTGATCTGGTTCGATGGGGTAATTGCTGACGATCAGCATCAAATGAAGGATGCATTGGGCCGCTGCCAGCAGAGCTTTCCCCCTCACTACTGCCTGCGCCAGATGACCATGCTCTTGAAAAGTCCCGACCAAGGTGCTGGCGGGAAGCTGTGCCAAGATCACGCCAATGAGGACGCACTGTAGGCTCAAGCAAGACCAGTGGAAGTGCTGCAAGCTGAATTGCGCTTGTCTGAGTTCCGAACCGGCGAGACGCTGCTGTTTGCTGTGCGCCATCGCTGCTTCGTGATGCCTCATTTGAATTGCGAGTTCGAGTCCCTCCACCATATACTGACAGCTTGGCTCGCCCTTCATTGTAGTGCGTTCCGCCTTCTCATCCCCTCGCTGCCTGAGTGTATGCTGCAACGAGCCATGTGCCGACGGCCACCGACTTCACCGCTACGAGGTCCGACTTCACCGCTGCCAAGCCTCGCAGCGGTGGGGCTCAAGACGGCAATGACCGTGGATGAGAGACTGTTCAAAATGCATGTATGCTGGATGCTGATCACTCGAGGGAGATGGAGATCTGAAAGAAGAAGCCGCTCAGCACGAAACGCGGCGCAGGCGCACACACACACGCGTCGAGTTGTCGCGCCGCATGCCCAACAAGCCCTGGTCTGTGTCTGCGCATGCATCGTGTTTGGAGCAGACTTCAACACACGCGCTCCTCTCCTCCACTTCTGCTCCATCATTTCACGCATTGCGCCCGCAATCGTGTATTCCTTATCGCACGCGCTTACACGACGTCTGTCGCCGCTTGAATCCGAAAAGTTGAGTCTTGACTATGCTGCCCAAGTACTCAAATGACTACGTAAGTGAAGCTTGTTGCCCTTTCGGCACTTCGGACGCTCAAACACCGCCCCTGCTGGAGGAGGCCACCGAATCTCTCGAATACTTCGCTGCTCAGTGCTTTGTTGAGCTTGAAACCCCTGCAAGCGTTGGCCTGCTTCAGGTTTCAGCGAAGCTTCGAGTCCGTGGCTCTTGAAAAGGCAGTCTTGAGCGTGATACGCGGACTTCACGTCCGCGCTGACCGTGCGTCAATCAGGTGCAACTTTGCTGCCGCGAGCATCGTAGAGTGGATACATGCACTCGGACAAAGTTCGCCCTTTGAAACGCTTATCAGCTTGTCATATTGCCGTTCGTCTTCCTTAACCGCCTGTACAGGTTGCCAGAAATGTACTTACGAGAGTCAGCCATTCACGACTGGCGTTGCGGCATTTCTGTGCCTGTCGCACGCTCTATCACCATGAATGTTGCATGAGCTTCCTCGCAAATGCAACAAGACGAATGAATAGGAGTCAATCCACTGAGCAGGATCGCACGCAATGCTTCAGCAGCAGGTTGAGATACATGCCTTCCCCACGTCTTGATGTACATTTGCCCGCGGTCAACTGTAGTCACAGAACCTTTGAAGCACCTAGCAGGAGGAGTTCTCTGAGGCCGTGGGCGGCGAGGACACGTCGAGGCGAATTCTCCAAAGATTTGCGAGTATCACACCGAAGAACATTGGCAGTGGAGCAGTCGAGGGACTGCGCTTCTTTTTCACAGGGAGTCAGCGCTGCTACGGTCTTCTGCGGCGATCGAAGCAGCTGAAGAGCAGCGTCCACGGGCCGAGGCAACGAAAACCTTGTTCAACATTTATGCTCAGCAGCGTGTATCCTGTCTCCTCGACGGTATTTACCTTCGCAAGCCTCAGTATCTATTCCCTTCGTGTAGACCATTACACAGCTCAGCTGCTACCCGCCGCCGTGCATGGCGTCAAGATTTCGCTTTGGCATGCCATGCAGTCTTCAATCGCACAAGGCGAGTCTTCTAGCGTTCGCCTCTCTTCTCCCGGGTCATCACAGTGCTCGCGCGTTGCCCGCCGCTCAATGTCTTCGTGATCCGCAACTCGCCTTCCGACCAGAGGAGACCAGACCAGAGGCCTTCGCAGAAAGGTTGGAGTGCTCGCACGCCACCACATGCTGCACGCGCGAGCTTCTGATTGTCGCAACGCATCCGAATCTTGAAGTTGTGTTGCGGCCGAGAGTCACGCCCGGCATTGCGCCCTTGGATCTGTCGACAACTAACGCATGTCTTCCGACGATCTTGACTTTTGACCTCTTCAAGTTTCAACTTTGTGGAAGCTTCGTCATCTTGGCCCACTTTCGCATTTGACCGCTTCCTGTCGTGCTGCCAAGCCTATGTTCCTCTGTCTCGGCTATCCAGCAGCAGTGTGCAGCAGTCGGGCCAGACGGCAGGGAGCCAAAGCTGAATTGTGCATTGCCCTGACTTCTGATCATTTCGCCGAGGCTTTATAGTCATGTTGTTGTTGCACCGGGTTGGGAAGTGAATAGGTACGATAAACGTACCGACACGCCTGAATGTCGTGCTGCTTGCGCGCCAAGAGCATCCCGCCCGACCTTCAGACCTCGATCCCACTCTGAGCCTGTATGGCCGCGTGCTATGCAGGATAGCAAGAGTATCATATAGGTGAGGCGTAATAGAAGGAGGACGGCAGTGCACTGCGGGAACCCAAAGCTCAGCGTGCAGTGCAGAGACGGGCTTGGACTGTCGCTAAGTCCCCGCGGAGAGTGACCTTCAGCTCACCAAGTGAACCAGGCCACTAAGTGCGATAGACCATGCCGCTGCGAAGCGGAACAAGCTCAAGGCGGAGCCTTTCGAGGGGGGGG